TTTACTCGTGCAACTGCATGTGCAAAGTGCAGTCTAATTGCCTTTTCTAAATCCACCCCAATGTCTTTTGTAGTTCCTAGACTGCCCTATCTTTATTTATTTATTTCAGGTACTTATATAGCGCCATCAATTTACGCAGCGCTTTACATATATATTGTACATTCACAGTCCCTAACCCTCAAGGGGTGTACAATCTAAGGTCCCTAACTTACATTCATACATACACATACTAGGGCCAATTTAGACAGGAGCCAATTAACCTACCAGCATGTCTTTGAAGTGTGGGAGGAAATCAGAGTACCCGGAGGAAACCCATGCAGGCACAGGGAGAACATGCAAACTCCAGGCAGGTGGTGCCATGGTTGGGTTATGAGCCGGCGACCCTAGTACTGCCAGGCGGAAGTGCTAATCACTTAGCCACTGTGCTGCCCAATCTTTGACCTTATTGCAACCCCACCTCTGCAAACTGGAACATGAAAAATGAAGCACAGAAGATAATAATATTGTAAGAGGCTGTCATTCTATGCAAGAGTAGAAAAAAAGAATGCAAGCTATGTGAACCTACAGAGTACACAGTTCAATGAATAATAAATGGACTTTATTACTCTGGCACAATGGCAAATGATCTTGATCTTCTTAACATACAACACAGAGAACCTTACAATGAGTACTAGGCAGAAGATTGTGTTTTTTTAACATGAGGATTCTCCTGTGATTATCCATAAATTGACTTGTATGCATTAAACCCGAAAATAATACTAAAAAATTCAGAAGATGTGCAAATAAAATAAAAAAAATTGTTCAGAAAAATAGTTGATTTCTGGAGTTAGCACAATAAATGAGGAATTTCACTTGAAATGAAAGGTAAAATTGTAAAAAAAAAAACACTAGAAATACCCTTTTCCATTTTTAGAAGTGATCACTTACTCTCTAAGCTCCTTATGCAGATGAGAACAGAGAGGTGAGGGAAGAGAAACAGCAGGACACTGAGCTTCCCAGTGAATAGCTGTTCAGAGGGGGGATGTGTCAGCGGAAGTCTGATTAGTGGATGAGAGCACACTGAGTTCCCAGCACAGCTAGAGAAACTAACCACGCTATGTTCCCCTGCCTAATTTGGTCAGTTTTTTTATTAGAAAAGCATAGGGACTAGCAGGAACACCAGGGATTACACACAAAGGAGGTAATACAAAGAAAACAGGATACTTTTTTCATACAAATACATGGTACAATAGGTACATATCAGGAATATGAAATGTTGAGTTTGCATATTCTTTAATTTTTTTCCAAATACCGTTTTTGTGGGTTTTTTTGCTCATTTAGCTGCTTTTTATATTTAAAAGGGGGTGAGGGGTGTTAATTGGGTATATTTAGGATACTTTAGTTTATTTAGTGTTCTTTGTACTGTTTTACCCTTTTTGAGTGTGTATTTTAGCACTATATGTGTACTGTTGGTTTAAATTTGTAACTTTATTTTTTTCCTATGTCTATATTTTTCTTTCTTTGAAAAAAAATAAAATAAAATAATGGGGTTGATGAGGGGTCCTTTCTTTGATGCAAACACAAGTACAGGCTAGTTAAAAAGTGCTACTTTATTTCCACTGACTCCAATGTATTTCCCCAAAAATGGCAGAAATTAACAAAAATCTCAGAATTTTGCTAAAAATTCAAAGAAATGAAACTCCTTAATTTCACTCACCCCTATTCACTAAGGCGTTATACCCCAGTGAATTGACTCTGCTATTTCTTAAAAGCATAATGAAGGCTTCTAACAGTTCTATATGATTTTCATATATCTGATTTGCATTATTTTTATTTTTTTTAACTCAGAAGATGTGAAAGCTAAGAATGAGCATTGAGTGGTATGAAAAAAGGTGGTCAGATTTCACCGCAAACATGGAATTATATTCTATTCCCCAGCATTAGCATATATATAATGCAGCAAGCAGTGTTTTATCTGCATGAGTTCAGGCACTCCATGTGACAGAGATACAATCGCACAGACACAGTAATTCACATAGTAATTTCCTGTGAAGAATCAGCCTACAAGACAGCTTGTTAAAGCTCAGAGCAGGTGCTTCTGTCTAAGGAAGTGAAAGCACAATGTCAAGTAATTTACAATATGTGACTATTACACACCATATGCGTTTGCTATGACTGATCCCAGCAAGATTTCATCCAGGGCAGGGCAGGCAGTGAGGTATGTCATGACAGCTGAGGACATTGCCGCACATTCCACCTGTCAAACCTGCTATACACAGACATTCCATAGCTGCATCTCTAGAGAGAAACCATCCTTCATGGGTGAAAATTCCTCATGTCACACACAATTAACCCCTCCAGTAGATGCCAGGTCATTGGTCCATAAAAAAGGGGTTAAAGTGCTCCTTTCAAGATTATGTGCATCTTTTAATAAAACAAAGTAAATATACCTGGAATGAGAAAATGGCAATTATATCATTTTAAAAAAATAATTTAGCCCTCCAGCAATTTGCTGAATGATATAATAAACCTTTATCACTTTGACCTATCATCATACTGAGGAGGTATTTTGTTTTTTTTTTGTTTTTTTTTTAGTAGAAAATGTATTATTGCACACTAACATAATAAATTCTTACTACTTGATTGCTCTGAGAGCTGATTTACACATGTGCGGTGAGGATTGAAGCTCAGGTTTCACAGCTAATTGACACAGTAGGTGTTCAATGGTTCATGTCAGGTTTACATCACGTTCAGGACAGGATTATCTCAGGATTTTATCCTGTTCACACATGTGTGGTTTAGAAACAGTTCCCAAAGAAATCAAAAGTCTGTAATCCACACCTGAACCTGAAGGCACTGCTCAGAAATTGCACAGGACTCTTTTTCAAATTACACTAAATCCGCACCGCCAGTGCAGCGGACATATGTGAACAGGCACCATAGGAAGCAATGCTTTTTCACATTTCATGCGGACTGGATGTGGATCAAACTGCATCCAATCCTCATATATGTGAACCGGTGCTGAGATCCCCAAATCAATTTAAATGGAAAAAAAAAGGTTTCATTCCATAGCTGCATCTCTAGAGAGAAACCATCCTTCATGGGTGAACATTCCTCATGTCACACACAATTAACCCCTCCAGTAGATGCCAGGTCATTGGTCCATAAAAAGGGGGTTATAGTGCTCCTTTAAAAATTATGTGCATCTTTTAATAAAATGAAGTAAATATACCTGGAATGAGAAAATAGCAATTATATCATTAAAAAAAAAATAATTTAGCCCTCCAGCAATTTGCTGAATTATATAATAAGCCTTTATCACTTTGACCTATCATCATACTGAGGAGGTATTTTGTTTTTGTTTTTTTTTAATAGAAAATGTATTAATGCACACTAACATAATACATTCTTACTACTTGATTGCTCTGAGAGCTGATTTACACATGTGCGGTGAGGATTGAAGCTCAGCTTTCACAGCTAATTGACACAGTATTTGTTCAATGGTTCATGTCAGGTTTACATCAGGTTCAGGAGAGGATTAGTTTAAGATTTTATCCTGTTCACACATGTGTGGTTTAGAAACAGTTTCCACAGACGTCAATAGCCTGTAATCTACACCTGAACCTGAAGGCACTGCTCAGAAATTGTACAGGACTCTTTTTCAAATCGCACTCAATCCGCACCACCAGTGCAGCGGACATATGTGAACAGGCACCATAGGAACCAAGTAGAGAAGAGAGACAGCAGTGACACTTCAAGTGTAGATGGTTAAAATCAGGCAGATTTAATGGTAAAATTGCACTCACATAGATAGATAACAGGTAGGCATGTCAAGTGATAAAGATCCAGTGGGAGCATCAGGTCCTTTGGCTGCGCTCTGAGTGTTTTCCCACTGCTCCGATGGTGACCAGGGCTCAGGGAGTAGCAGAGGGGCGCAGTGAGGTTCTGAGCCTACCTATGTGAGTGCAATTTTACCATTAAATCTGTCTGATTTTAACCGTCTACACCAGGGGCGGAGTGACAACTCATGGGGCCACAGACAGAAGATCCACACCCACACTCAAACCACACCCAAAAAAGCCTATGAAAGGTACTAGGGGTATCTCATGGGGCCCCTTACTGACCCTGGGCCCTTGTGCAGTGCCCGAATGGTCAGTCCGCCCCTGGTCTACACTTAGATTGGCGCTGCTGTCTCTCTTCTCTTCCTGCATTAGGAGTATCTACAAGCTCTTACAGCCGGCTGCGTCCTCGGACAAGTCCATACTACTACAAGCCCCCCACTACAGATGAACGTGGACACCACCTCTACATGGACCTTCTACTAACCCCCATTGCTGATGGTCCATCCCCAAACACAAACAGGGTAGATGCGTCTTAGCGCTCCCTCTCCCCCCTCACCATAGGAAACAATGCTTTTTCACGTCATGTCATGCGGACTGGATGTGGATCAAACCGCATCCAATCCTCACATATGTGCTGAGAGCACCAAAGCAATGTAACCACTAGCCTACAGGGCACTTATTCCCCCTTCCTGCCGAGGCCAATTTCCAGCTTTCAACGCTGTTGCACTTTGAATGACAATTGCGCGGTCATGCAACACTGTACCCATATGAAATTTTTTATCATTTTTTGTGACGGATAGAGCTTTATTTTGGCGATATTTAATCACCTCTGGGTTTTTTATTTTTTCTTAAACAAACCAAAAACCACTGAAAATTTTGAAAAAAAATTGTTTTTCTTAGTTTTTGTTATAAAATTTTGTAAATAAGTGATTTTTCTCCTTCATTGATGTGCGCTAATGAGGCTGCACTGATGAGCACTGATAGGCTGCACTGATGGACACTGATATGTGGCACTAATGGGCACTGGTGAGGATGCACTGGTAGGTGACACTGATGGGCATTGACAGGCATCACTGATGGGCACTGAAAAGCAGCACTCATATATGGCACTGATAGGCAGCACTGATAGGTGGCACTGTTAGGTGGCACTGACTGGCAGTGTTAGGTGGCACTGACTGGCACTGTTAGGTGGCACTGATAGGCAGCACTGACGGGCACTGATAGGCGGCACTGATGCACACTGATAGGCAGCACTGACTAGCACTGATAGGCGGCACTGACTGGCACTGATAGGTGGCACTGATTGGCAGCACTGATAGGTGGCACTGACTGGCATTGATAGATGGCACTAACTGGCACTGATGGGTGAAGCTGAAAGGCAGCTCGGATGGGCACTGATATGTGGCATTGATGTGCACTGGTAGGCACTGAAATGTGGCATTGATGTGGCACTGATGGGCACTGGCAGGTGGCATGGATGAGCACTGACAGCTGGCACTAATAGACACTGACAGGTGGCACTGCTGGGGCTACACAGATCATCAGAGCACACTCATCATCAGTGCCCTGATGATCAGTGTACATGTCCCCTTTGAGGGATGCTGATTACTGGCTCTCCTCTTGAGCTGTCAGCCTGATAACCGGCATTTCCCTATTTACATGCGATCAGCTGTGATTGGACACAGCTGATCACATGACCAAGCCAACATCTTCGGCTCTTTCCGTTGATCGGTGATCCCTCGGACACAGCGCACCGCCAATCACCGCGCTGCGTGCTCCCCGCAGCATGCGCGGTTAGAATAGGAGGACGTCATATGACTATATGGCGGGCGGGAGGCGGTTAAGGGAGAATTTAAAAGGTTTTTATATTTATAGTAGAGCTACCAGCAAAAATGATTTATAGCTTCAGATAGAACAGGAAGATTCCACCTGACTTCTTGTCCTGAAGATCACAGAAATTAACAGGGAATCCCTCCAATATGGATACATGCAACCACTCAAAACTGAGGTTCTAGTCCTACCCCACTCTACTAATAAAACGTTTTTATTGCTATATGTGTCCCTGATAGAGACATTCCCTGTCACTAACCCAAGTGAACAGACAGAAAATGGGGGAAATTTCCTATTTGACACACGCTTGGACCTTGAAGAAGGGGACATACCCCGAAAGCTTGTCCTGAAAATTGTATGTTAGTGCAAATAAAAAAAGTATCACGGACAGTACTCAATAGTTTCTATTTGGGACTCAGATGGCAATAAAAACGTACAATATGTGTGACCGAGACACTGGATTTGATGGTTTGAAGAGGTCCTTACAAAATAGAGTGCCCATTAAACTATAGGATGGGATGGTTGGAAACCATGTGTACAAAGTCCAAAGTCCGACGGTAATATCCTTGATCTTGTCTTCTCCAACCGCTGCGCTCCCCACAACCTCACTAACACCCCCTTCCCTCTCTCTGACCACAACCTGATCACCTTCTCTATCTCCTCGTCCTCCAACAAAAACCCCTCCAAATGTCACACTACTACCAGCCGTAACCTCCGCAACCTTAACCCTGCCCCCCTCCACTCTGCAGCTGATCAACTCCACGACCGCATCCTCCCCCTGTCCTGCCCCGACTTGGCTATGACTGCCTACAACAACGCGCTGTCAGCAGCCCTTGACTCACTAGCGCCTTTAACCACACGCAACATCAGACTCCGACCGCTCCAGCCCTGGCAGACTGATCACACCAAAACCCTCAAACGACGCAGTCGTGCCCTGGAGCGACTATGGCGCAAAACAAAATCCCAACAAGCTTTCACCTGCTACAAATCTGCCTTCCGCACCTACACCTCCTCCCTCCACGCAGCCAAACAAGCCTACTTCCTGACCCTCATCAAGGCCCTCTCCTCCAATCCTCGCCGACTCTTCTCCACCTTCAACTCTCTACTCTCTCCACCCCCACCTCCACCCAGCACCTCACTCACCGCCCTTGAGATTGCCAATCACTTCAAAAACAAGATTGACACAATTCGCAAGGACATTGCCGCAACTCACACGCCCTCTCAACCCGTCCCCTCTCACACAGCTACCCCCTCATCCCCCCCCCCCCCCCTCGACATTACCCGCAGGGACTTCGTCACTGCTCAAACTCCCTCCGACCCCATTCCCCCTCACTCGGCTACCCCCCTCATCACCCCTCTCCCACGGCCCCACCACTGCTCTGACCTCCACTCCCACCCCACCCTACATTCCTCATACTGAAGCTCCCCCAACACTCCACACCTTTGACCTTACTACCATTGAGGAAGTCTCCAAGATCCTCTCTGATGCCCGCCTCACCACCTGCCCCCTCGACCCTATCCCCTCACAATTCCTACGACCTCCCTCCCCCTCCATCCTACGCTCCCTCACCCACATCTTTAATCTCTCCCTCTCCTCCGGCACTTTCCCCTCCCCACTGAAGCATGCACACATCACCCCCATACTTAAAAAGCCCTCCCTGGACCCCAATGACCCGAACAACAACCTCAGACCCATCTCCCTGCTCCCACTTACATCTAAACTCCTCGAGCGTCTCGTCTACACCCGCCTATGCTCTCACCTCAACGACAACAACCTCCTCGATCCCCTACAGTCTGGCTTCCGCCCCCTACACTCCACCGAAACCGCCTTACTCAAACTCTCCAACGACCTTCTAACCGCCAAAGCTAATGGCCACTATTCAGTGCTCCTACTCCTTGACCTCTCTGCGGCCTTCGACACAGTTGACCACCCCCTCCTCCTCAAAATACTACACTCCCTCGGCCTCAGAGATTCTGCTCTCTCCTGGCTCTCATCCTACCTGTCACAACGCTCTTTCAGCGTTACCTATAATGCTACCACCTCCCCCTCACTCCCCCTCTCTGTTGGGGTCCCTCAAGGCTCTGTCCTTGGGCCCCTTCTCTTCTCCATCTACACCTCCTCCCTTGGCCAACTCATACACTCTCACGGCTTCAACTACCACCTCTATGCCGACGACACACAAATCTATCTCTCAACCCCCCACCTCACCCCTTCGGTCTCTGCCCAAATCACACACCTACTGAGCGACATATCAGATTGGATGTCGCTCCACTTCCTTAAACTGAATCTCTCCAAAACCGAGCTCCTTGTCTTCCCCCCCAGCCCGAACCCCACCCCCCATTGACTTCTACATCACATCCAACAACGTCAATTTTTTTTTTTTTTTTTTTTTTTTTTAAGTCCGCAAACGTGGAACTGTAACGAAAAAACCCCGTAAGTGTCCGCAAAAAAAGTGCAAGTGCAGAAAACACACACACGAAAAACGTGCACTTAGGGGTGTGTTTGTCCTACCCCCGAAAGGGTTGGACCGTTCACCCGATCCCCCCGGGGCACGAAGCTCCTGACAGGGACAAGGTTCCCATTTGGTCCTCCTGGCCAAAAGGCCTGGTGGACCACCGTTCCTTATGCCCAGCCGAAGCCGGACATCCAGTACTAGGCAAGGGGGTTCTCCCAAAGAGAAAACCCCCTAGGGATCAGGGGAGGAAGGAACCGTATGGCCACACATCCTCCCCCTAGACTTCAGGTAAGGCCCGAGGACCCACACCCTCCATCCGTGAAAAACACACATAACATAAAAAAGCAAAAAGTGACAAAACGTGGGAGTGATATAAATAAATAGAATAAAATAAAAAAGTGGTACCGTGCCTAATAGTGCACAGACCAGGCCCTGAGGCCTGTAGCAAAAATTGCCCTGGACTTAGCCAAAAGACCTGGTCCTTAGGGCGCTGTGCAAAAAGAGGTGAAAAACAGTGGCCATGTGTCATCTTCACACCGTGGGGTCCCACACCCAAGTGTTACTAGTGACACCCCTGAGAGCGTCTTCCCCAGGGGGCACTGAGTTTGCGGACTTTTTGCGTCCCCGACCCCAGGCCAGACCAAGGTAGCCTGCTCAAACCAGGAGGAACTGGGTCTTTCCGGTCTCCCCAGAGGAATTACTCCCAAGGCCCCAGAACGAATCATGGCGCTCCCTGGTTTCCTGTCCCTCCGGTACTAACCTTCCGGACCCCCATCATACCAGTGAGGGTACTGTACAACAACCATCCCCGTAAAACTAGAATGGTCGGTAGCACCCCCACTGGACACTGATAAGAACAGATACTACACTTGATCTTAGCCAAAAGGCCGAGAAGCGATCTTGGTCTCTGCCCAAATCACACACCTACTGAGCGACATATCAGAATGGATGTCGCTCCACTTCCTTAAACTGAATCTCTCCAAAACCGAGCTCCTTGTCTTCCCCCCAGCCCGAACCCCACCCCCCATTGACTTCTACATCACATCCAACAACGTCAATATCAAACCCGCTCTGCAGGCCAGAGTACTTGGTGTCATTCTGGACTCCAACCTATCCTTCCAGCCCCAAGTCCAATCTTTAACAAACTCGTGCAGACTCCACCTCCGCAACATCGCCAAAATCCGCACGTTCCTAACCCCAGAAACCACTAAACAGCTCATCCACTCCCTCATCATATCACGACTCGACTACTGCAACTCCCTCCTCACTGGCCTGCCTCGCCGCTGGCTATCCCCGCTTCAGTTGATCTTGAATACGGCTGCCAGACTCATTCACCTTTCCAACCGCTCCATTTCCGCCACCCCCCTCTGCCAATCCCTCCACTGGCTTCCGATTGCGCAACGGATCAAATTTAAAATCCTAACACTGACGTACAAAGCTGTCCACCATACTGCCCCGAACTACATCACTGACCTAATATCCAAGTACCGCCCAGCACGCACACTCCGCTCCTCACAAGACCTCCTTCTCTCTAGTTCCCTGGTCTCCTCCTCCCATGCCCGCCTCCAGGACTTCTCCAGGGTGTCACCCATCCTCTGGAACTCCCTGCCCCAACCCATCAGATTATCACCTACTCTCCTCTCCTTTAGGCGCACCCTGAAAACCCATCTCTTCAGGGAAGCCTACCTCACCCCTTGCTAACTTGCTGACCTCCTCCACTCTTCCTACCACTCCATCCCCCACAGCTATCTCCTCCTGTACCACTATCCCATCCCTTCTAGATTGTAAGCTCGAAAGAGCAGGGCCCTCGATCCCCTCATGTTTTGCATTGTATTGGTATTGTTCTGTCACATGTTCTGTCCCCCTTTGTAATGTACAGCGCTGAGTGAACTATTGGCGCTTTATAAATACTGTATAATAATAATAATAAGAGAGTGCCAGACCAATGAGCCATGATGAGTCCAAACACTTTTAATAATTGCATTGTTCACTACAATAATAAATAACACCCAACACATTTTGAGGGCCCAGAAGTATCCTCCTTCATCAGGGCTCAAATATTAAATAGGATCTTCACAATTAAAATGAAACAAAGTGATAAAGTATCCAGGAACAATACAGCAGCAGCTGTATGTTGGCTCAATAAGGCTTCATTCACACTTGCAGCTGGAAGGCTTTAAAAATTGGCAATTCAGCCATAGTTTTACCACCCCCATCCACTATCCCCATCACCCACCTTAAGCTACTGAAGTGGTAGAGTTGGGTGGTACACATACTGTGGTAATGATGCTTTGTTTCACAGCCGCATAGAAAAAAAAGATTACCTGATGTGGCATTCATTGGGCAGTATCACCTCAAGAATGGGGCTGCACTGCAACTGCCCTGCGACTGTGTGTAAGGCTAGGT